GTGATTGCGGTCGTGGACGGCGGGCGCGTGGCCGAGCAAGGCTCGCACGACGAACTGATTGCCATCCCCAACGGCATTTACGCCAACTTGGTGTCGCGCCAAATGCAATAGATACATTATTTGAAACATACCTTCTTTGATTGTTGTTAATGCGTAATATAGTCCAGCAGTTTCGTACAAACGACACTAATTTCGCAGATTGCTTGTCAATGTCAACTGCTGATGTACTGGTACTTACTACTACGTAGTACTACTAGTAGTAGTGACCGACTACGTGAACTATTAATAGTATGAACTTGCATGTATTAATACTACCGGTTGTAACTATTAATACCAGTAGCTCTTTGAACTTTGCCCTCACGTTGTCGCTATTATTACTTATAGTATTACTAAATAGGAAGGTACTCTTACTGAAGTATTAATAGTAGCAGTAAGAGTACTTTCCTATTTAGTAATACTACTAGTATCATGCATAGTATCCCAACATATGTCTGACCAATGGAAATGCCGCGATTGCTTACGTCGAGTGGCAATTCTTGGGTCGTTCTGTAAACATGCTCATGCTCATGTAAATGTCAGGGATCACTTCGAAACGTGCGTTCAAGATATGGCATCAGGACCACCCGCACAGCAGGTCGACGAGACATACGTGGCAGTCCAGTCGCCCCACGACGCATCCGTCCTCCTTCATGACAAGGTTGTCGCCAACGACGGCAAGGCACCACAAACTACGAACAACTTGGTGAGCTTCGGCCAGTTGTTCCAGTACGCCGATGCCACGGACATGCTGCTCATGTTTACCGGCACCCTCGGCGCGATGGTCATGGGCGTGAGTCAGCCGATCCAGATCGTGTTCTTTGGGGACATCATCAACGTGTTCAATCCCGCGGGCGGCGGCAATTTTGCCCGCGACAAGTTCAACGACAGCATCAACAAGGTCGTGTACCAGTTCGTGGTGCTGGCCAGCGTCATGCTGGTCGTCGGTTTTGGCCAGATCGCATGTTGGTCCATTTCCGCGTCCCGCCAGGCCAAGAAGTTGCGCCACGCGTATGCCTCAGCCATCCTGCGCCAAGAAATCGGCTGGTTCGACGTGAACGAACCAATGCAGCTGGCGACGAGGGTCGCTGACACGACGCTTCTCGTGCAGGAAGGCATGGGGCGGAAAGTTGGCGACGGCATCAACTTCATGTCCATGGGACTAGCGTCGCTGATCCTCGCCTTCCACTACGGGTGGGAGCTGTCGCTCGTGCTGTTTGCGTTCACGCCGTTGTTGGGCATCTCTGCGTTTTGCACGTCCAAAGCCATCACGCTGGCCGTCCAAGGAGGCGTGGCGTCGTACGCCGAAGCGGGGGGCATCGCCGAAGAAAGTTTGAGCAACATCAAGACCGTGCACATGTTCAATGCGATGCCAGTCATGGCCGCGAAATACGTGGCAGCACTGGGACACACCCAAGTGTCGGGGGTGAAAAAGGGATTGGCAGTAGGCTTTGGCACGGGCATGATGTATTGCATCGCCATGTGTACGTACGCCGTGGGCATGTACTACGGCGCCGTGCGGGTCACTAACGACCAGCTGGGCGACAACAAGTGCAAATCTGGCACGGCTGGATGCTACGACGGTGGCCGAGTGATCACCATCTTCTTTTGCATTGTAATGGGCTCGATGGCTTTGGGCCAAGCTGGCCCCAGCATGCAGGCCGTGATGACTGCTCGCTCCGCCGCGTACGAGATTTTCGAGCTCA